TTTTAGATTTGTGTTATCTGTGGGTAGTATGGAGTCGGAACGTATATTGTTAAACAATTACTTTCATTTTTTTGTATATAATTGTAGTTGTCAGTTTGTGCAATTAATAGGTCAATGAAGTTAGCACGGTGGGTACGACCAGTTCCAGGCTGGATGATGGATGGCCATCTTGCTGAAGCTAAGTTGGTTGATATGGTAAGACCCCCCCCCCCCAACAATGTATAAATTCTGACTTATCGATTACGACTATACTCCAATGAAGTTTCTGATTGACGTATTACAAAAGTTCTTTTCTGCTATTGGGTTCCAATTCTGCAGTGAATAATATGTAAGAAGGTACCAAAGGGGTAAGATCTGTGTAATCCTTCCATGAGCATTTTTACAAAAATAAAATTATAATGTACAACCGGACAATCGCGTTATAAAGAAAATAAAAATACACCTATTTAAATAATGGAACACCCTTCATGCAATGAAAACGTACAAGAAGTTGCATGGATTATAAAACAACCAATCAATGCACATGCCTGTCACTGTAAACCAATAACTTCATTAAATGCAGGTAGTGCTGTACATGTAGAGATATATTCTGTATTCAAAGAAAAGAAAAATAAATTATGTTTTCTGTAACCAATTTGACAGTTTACAAGAAATATGTATAATGCTTTCTTGCCCATACATGTTGCACATACAACAAATAATAGTAGAATTCATTGTATAGTTGCTTTTTTCTGTAAAAAATGTCATTTAATCGTTTTTGGGTTACTAACTTAAACTTAACAGATATTTCATCTGTCAGCTGTCTTTGAATTTTTGTATAAACAATTGTACGAGTATGACTGAACTAATGCTTACCAATTTCTGGTCTGTCTCTATTTGTCAATTTTTTTTTCCTTTTGACTGGGGCTTCGGACATCTAGGTCATTTCCGCCCCAACTAAGTCTATATTCTATTTACCCTTTCAAACACTACTTTCACACAAATAAATACATTCATACACATAAATACATCCATACAGTACACTCATTCCCTTTGGTCGGTGGATACTTGATATTCCTCCACCGACCTATACTCAAACTAATCTAGATTGCGGTCGATGGAGTACTTTTATAAATATTCCGCCATCGACCCAGAACACACACTCATACGCTCTCAACGTTCGAGGGTTCGATGACGTTATATTTCACCCTCACCCCTCGCCATTCACGCTAATAAATACATGCACTCAGACAAAACATATAGACACACAACACATAAGACATATTATATACAATAAAAAAACCCAAATTTCCTTCAAAAAGCGGAACAGGGGACCTAGAAAACCCGCTGCAGTGCTCGAGTACCATTTTCAGATTGGATGACATGCCTACACGCTCCCGATAGGGAGACAAGGCATGACATTTTTCCAGTATGTGGGACACATCAGCAACCTTTCTCTGCGTAAGGGGCACCTGCGCGGGCTTTTGCCCAAGACAGGTGCCCGTGTGTCAACCGTGTATGGCCTATTCTTAATCGCGTAAGGACGATTCCTTGTTTCCAGCTCAAGTTCTCGGGGGCCATCTACGAATCTTGCTCTTGACGCGCAAAAACCTCTCGGACGACCCGTCCATTAATATTATATATATTTATGTAACGTTCCCATTTGATTAAACCTTAAAAATTGTCAAATAAAAAATTATTTAATGAAAAAATTAATTAAAATAAACAAGAAGATATTAATTCTCTCCTTACAACAGGCCAATAACGTGCCCAGAGGGAGGGGCCAAAAGAAATAAAATGTAAACAGCAGGAGTCTTGAATTAACAGTCAGACTGAAAATACGGGATTGAAAAGGGCAAAGCTGTGTTTTCTGATAATTAGTGAGATCTAACTTTTTATAAGAAAAGACGTTCTAGGCTTCGTGAGGTGAGCCTTCCCTTTTAATTTAACTTTTTAGAGTTGTTTTGTTTTGTATTTTTTTAACAATAGTTATTTGCTATTTATTTTGGATTTTAGTGCTAAAAAGAAGACGTATATTTTATTATATATTATTACTTTAAAAGAATATTTTTTGTTGAATCATAATAAACCATTATAAGGAATTATTTTTTATTTGTTCTTCATTCTATTAAGTTTATACTAATACCTATTTTTAAGAATGGTTGTCTTTAAGCTGGGAATAAACCTTCCCGATTATAACAGTTTTAATCAAAGTGAAACTTAATCCCAGTAAAAACTCGCACATTACAATCAAAGTTAAACTTAATCCCAGTAAAAACTCGCACATTACACTTCGACTTACTAACTTTTTTAAAAAATTAACTCAATTTCATAGCAACATTAACTTCACCACTACTCCTTATCGGCATAGACATCATAGGACCTATATACCACGCCACAATACTAATGGCAAAACTTCACCGTTACATAGAATAATGTGCTCCGCAAATGTCATCACTCACAATTATTTCATTCCTCTATTGATATTTTTTGAACCAACTCCACAATTTGCTTAACAAATCTTGAAACTCTAGGCATAAATATTCATTGAATTTATGTAAAAAAATTGACTTTATCTTCTATCCATATGAATATTATTATTATTTATTATCGAAAGTTTGCAGTCTGATGAACGTGCGGTTTGGTTGTTTCAAAATCATTTTGGCAGGATTATTCCCATTGATCTCTCTGTTTTTCGACATCTTCAGCGGTGGATCCGTGTGAAATTTGCTCTGTAATGTCCGCTATACAAGTTCGTGAAAGGTGGAAAGAATGTTGTTGATTGACGAAGTTTTACAATATATTATTATGTGTGGGGTTCAGTAACCGTTAGTTAATGATTATTTGGTGATCGTGAGATGCGGTAAAAATATTTTCTTTATCGTGCCAACGTTTCGATCTTTATGGAGATCATCTTCAAAGCCTGGGATTTAAATTATACATTATATTTTATGATTGTTTAAATTTTACAAACACATGTAGGATGTGATAAAAGTGAATATTATACAATGCTAGAAATTGTAGACTCAAATTATTTGTACTCATTCAAAGTGTTTGTTTTCTGTGTATCATTATTTGAAAAATGTGTCATTATGTGAATTGTTTTATAGTTTTTAAAGGTATCAGAAGAGAGAAATGTATTTCATTTGTGTGATAGGCCGTGAATGAATGGCAAGGATATGTATATTGGTTTGTCTACATTTGTTAGTAATTAAATTCACTAATTTCGTGGTCCGCTTGACCAATTAATATATTACAATTAATTAAGGTTTTTAGTTGAGATAAAAAAGTCAATGGCACGAGCGGGATTCGAACCCACGATCTTCGGCTTGATACGCCGCTGCTCTACCACTTTAGCTATCGAGACCTCGATCCACTCGGACACTAACTTCCCATCTCAGCCCCACCTTTTGAATTTTCCCTCCTTTTTGCCATTTTTCAAATGTCGTGTAATCTATTTGATTCTCGGCGACAAATGAAATGACCACGAAGAGCTTTACTGAAGGTATACTTCATTTTAAACTTATTAAATTCACTAGTTCCGTGTTCCGCTTGACCAATTCATATTTTTTAATTAAGCTTTTTAGTTGAGATGAAAAAGTTAGTGCTCTTTCTGAGAGCCGTAACAATTTCCTCAAAAAACCTTGACTAACAGAACGATCTGGATGTAGTGTGCATGAAGATAGCCGTTGAATTTCTTATTTAAAAGGGACACTCTCAACACGACAGCCAAAAATCACACATCTTCACAGAAAACAAACACTTTGAGCCATGAGGATGATCTCAATAAAGATCGAAACGTTGGCACAAAAAAAAATTTCTAAACCTACGTCACACCACACCGCATCTCACGATCTCCAAATAATCAAAAAAATATTATTATTATTATTATTAATACTAGGTGATAGTTGGTCGGGAAGTAGTCATCCCCCGATGGCTTAGGTAACCTCGAGAACCTAGACTTTTCCAAAATTATGTTATAGTTTTTGTCCACTCCGTCCAACTAGATGACTGCGAAAACAAGTTATATCACACAAGGTACAAGAGGCTGTTTTCCTCTTCTGCACTGCTAGGTGGGGGCGGGTTCCTCGACTCGAGTCCGTTGTCTCTTGCCACGTTTGTGATGGATTAAAAAATACATGGCTTATTAAAAAAAGTTTTGATTTACAAAAAAAAAAATCTTTTCAGATCTAGAATATTAGGTTTGCGTCCCTACCAGTTTCACTTCTCACTCAAATTTCCGAATCTCTTACATTTTTACGTTCAGTGTCTTAAAACAACTTCCTTACTGACACATAATGAAAAACAGTGACTCCAAAGTGGTTATAATTTTTTTATTTAGTGACTATTAAAGAAATTTCGTTGTAGATCTAAAGTTGTGATGGATTGCCTCCGCCAGCGCAAGTGGGATAAAGGGAGCAGACAAACGACCCATAATATACGAGGAGTGTTTTTTGAATGTGTGAAAAAAAACTCGGCCTCCGGTTACCAGGGGTGTGGGTGGGTCGGCCATCAGAAGTACATTGACTAGGCAAAGGAGTGATCTTCATACGAAACAATGGCCAAAGCCGGCCATTTAGCCTGAGCCGGCCAGAATCCCGTTTTATCCCACTCGCTTTATTTCATTGTACAAAACAATGAGAATTACGACCGGGGGATTCGGCCATTTCATTGGCCGGCCCGAATTTTTGCTCATTGTTTGTCTGTCTCTTGTTCATCTTTAAAAAATTCGTTCCCGCGAATGGAGGAAGCCGTTTTAAATCATAGACATTGGGCGACAATCCTTCTAACGCGCTCAAATTTATATAAAAAATAACTATTCGGATTACTATTTTCAGCAGGACATTCCATTAATCATATAACAGTATGATATTTTCCTTGTAAAATTCTTGAAAGCGGATTATTTGAAAGTGTTGGAGGATTTATTATTTAAACAAAAAACCGTTAAGGTTCATTAAAGAATAATTAGCCTTTTCGTTCTTCCATTTCTAAAGGTGTTAATCAGCTATTTTTCATTTTAGTGATCCCAACGGGCCTAACCAGAGCCACATGGACGGCGACCATGAACTACCGTTTTGGGACACGTACGACTCGATCAACCAGCTGTACCTGCAATTAGGTAATTGTCATTTTTTAAACATTTTAGGTTTTCACCATTGACTACGCGATATCATTTAAATAATAACTAATTAAACAGTGTTTTATTAATTAAATAAAAGTAATTAAAATACAATTTTAGTATATTAATATTCTATTACTGTCGTATGAATACGTCAGAAGGTATACAGTTATACACAGTATAATTATTCATAACAGGAATTGAGAATGTTTAAAAATCTACTTGTTGATTGAATAAAAAATAATTTCAAAACTATGTCTCGTATTTCATACAGCATCGAATTTATACTATCCCAAAAGGTAAATAAACGCGATGACATTTATGAAATAATATTTACTATTTACATACAGTTTACTATGTTTAATTCATATAATAAATGTTTTAAAATATATTTTTTAATTCGATTAATTAAGACTTCGTGAAGTCAAGCTCAAATGGTAGAGTAGTGGCGTATCAAGCCGAAGGTCGTGGGTTCGAATCCCGCTTTTGACATTGGCTTTTTTATCTCAACTAAAAACCTTAATTAATTGAATGATATTAATTGGTCAAGCGGACCACGAAAATTAGTGAATTTAATATTTTTTAAGGTGTGTTTTTTTTATTATCCATTAATTTCTCTCAGCAAATAGTTGATAAGTTGATTAATACTTACTTATCAATATAAAAAATGAATGAATAGCTTTATTATAGTGACTGGGTGAGCATTTTTTTTTTCATAATTTAATGCATTTTTTTACAATGGATACCAGGAACAGGAGGAGTTCCCTCCTGAGCACTGCAGCTGTACAGCTTATTGTACTTTATCCCTGGCTCCATATTTTTAGGGGCTCGCAACACAAGTGTGAATTTGAGCCCACGGTGTGCCGGTGTTCTTTCATCGAAAAAACTCATTTTTGAAGAGGGTTGGGACCAAATTCAGGGTAGCTGAGATCTGATCCCGCTCCTTCCATTGATGTGTCAATTTCTTTCAGTTGCGGCCACCGTCCCCTTAGGCGTCAGAAAATGCCCAGAGGCGTCGGTGCGGATCGAACCCACGACCGCGGGTCTACTAGCCGAGAATCTGACGCGTTAACCACTCGGCTACCGCGGCCCCCATTTAATGCATTAGTAGTAGAGTAATTAAAATTTTAAATAAAAAGTTCGTGTATATTCATAGGTTTTTATGCACTTTTTCGACATAAGCACAGTTTTTTTAAATTAGCAAATTTTAAAATTTATATTGACTATTTTTGTGACCTTAGACAATTTTTTAAAATAAATTTCAGAAATGGCCAAGTGGGCATAAAATGTACGGCATCTTCCTATTATTTTTGTTAAACGGCTGACACAGATGCGTCATTTCGTTAATATATTTAAGTTTTAGAAGTTAACTTATAATTTTAAAAATTGCTCTTATATAATGTGTTTATTGTACTTGATAAAAGGTACTGGTTTGTGACATGACTTTTATAATAAACTCCTAGCATGTCGGCAGTTTCAATGGTTTTATCATATTGTCTATTTGAACATTCCACCTACTCGTCTAATTAAAAGTTCATCTAAACTGCCGTGCAGTTAGTCTAGCACTAATCTCAACAATCACTGACAAGAACAGGGCATTTTTTCTTCGGTTAGCAAATTTACTGTTATTCTGAGAAATCTGTAGCCTGTATAATTGAAAACGCATACTTCGCATATATGTAGTTGAAAAGATTTAAAAAAAGTAAATATTGCCCAGTTTCAAGGAATAGTATGTAATTGGGAGTGAAACATGGTTTCTTTACTATTTTTTTAACTTGATCATATGTGTTATATCCCCTACTTGATAATCAAAACTAACAGAGGATATAATATTTTATTTTCATTTTCGACCACTTTTTAACTGATTTGACAGTATTCAATACAGTCCTTGGTAATGTAGGGAATGAGTCGGCCTTCAAGGAAATTTGATATCGCTTGTAAAAACTTAAATGTGTCAATCTGTAGACATATATAAAGCCGGGAACACACTTACCCGATGCAACGCTAGGCGACGCTACCCGATGCTACCCGACGCAAATCCAAAGTCTACTTTTCCGTAAGGTTGTATTACCGCCTTGCACATCTGCCCGATGCTATGGCGCTACCCCATACGCTACCCTACTCTACGCTCTGCGATCCCCACTGTCCAGATTTTCGTCGGGTATCATGGAGTACAATCGAAGACAAAAGAAACGGGCACTCATATTTTTATTCAAACTACAAATATTATTGTTGTTATATTAATTACAACACACTTATTTTAATATAAACCAAATTAACCGAGATCAAAAATGCATTTATTTTCATTTAAAAAAAAAAAATTTTGGTACTGTAGAAAATTGTTCAAAACACCAGAATACCATTTTTTGATATAGAGAATTTAACTAACTATATATTTCATGGTTTTGCTCAAAAAATTACATCGAGTAGCGTCAGAACAGGACACCAATATTTTTTTGTAGTTTATTTCAAACTATGTATATGTAATTTTGTCGTTATATTAATTACAACATTCTTATTTTAATATAAACCCAATTAAAATTCATGCGTTTTTATAAAGGTTATTTAATTATGATGGTTAGGCAGAAAATTTATCAAAATACCGGAAAACTTTATTTAAAACAATTAAATTTAACTAATAATTATTACATGGTTTTGCTCAAAATAATGCATTAAGAACAAAAGAAGCGTTGCGATTGTGATACTGATGTGTGATGCACACTGTATGACTGTACGTGGCGTGAGTTGGACGTCGCATTCGATGTGCACAACCTACCAAAACGTGGCAAGGCGTCCGGTCGCATCGTGTAGCGTTGCATCAGGTAAATGTGTTCCCGTCTTAAGGTTGTTTTGACCTGGTTGGCAGTAACAACTAAATTTGATTTTTTCATCAAGGCCATGCCTTGATCCAGTGTTCCTAAGAAGAAATAATCAGGGAATTAGAAATTCTGTGTTTTGTTGAAAAGGATATAATATAACAGTCCAGACGGTCCAGTATGCATGCCTCTTACCTCTTAATCATTTATTTCGTAAATACAAGGTAAGTAGCACATAATCTGAGAAAAGAAACAATTTTAGAATTACCAACATTCAGACCACCCACTGATTAACCATATCATTTGTACGCTGTAAGAAGACTATCCTTTAAAAAGAAAAACATTTCAATAAGAAATTTTAAGTTTAAAAAAATTTGATAATTAGATAAATGTGAGTTAATTATATTAATTTTTACTGTAATCTTAACTTAGTTTGATATTCAGAATTTTCGGTAAATCCACACAGAGTTCAATTATTTGTTTGGTTTTTTAAAAATATCGTGAAAGGACTGAGATTATGTTTTGTATTTTTGAAGAATGAGAATATCTAAAATTCGAAGGAACCCGTTTTCTGTCTTTCTTGGACGCTCGAGAATCGCCTTCAATGGACAGCTCAAGAAATTCAAAATGGCGAAATTATACCAGATGGTGATAGCTGCCACAGAGAAGAATACCCATTTAGAGAACATCTGGGTCCCATACATCCTGATGATTGGTTGACAGCGTACGGAGTAGTCCGTCATTAGTTGATTGGAGTTGGGTTGACACTGGAAGTTGCACACGAATCAGTTTAGAGTTTAGAGTTAGTCACTGGTTAGTTCCCAGCGTTGAGTTAAAAGTTAGATTATGAATGCGACAGTTGTCGGTTGCAAAAATGGAGACCAGTGGGCTAGACTTTTATTAGATTTTTTTAGAGTAGTCGAATTTTGGAGGAAAATTGATGGCTTCGGCTTATATGCCTCCTGTGTGAATTTTTAGCAGTTAGTAGATGGTTTTGAGTTGTGGCATCCTGGATTACTTTCTATAGCCTCATTCGGATTCGGAGGAAAAACTAATCATGCCGAATGATCGTCTCGCCGATGTATACGTCAACTCTTGGCCCGCCCGCAATATATATCAAACCGTATATACATCAAACCGAACTGGGCTCACTATATGGCCTTGTTTTACATCCGTATTTCTACTAAATTTATCTGAAAATACATTTTTAGCCAAATTGTTTGAATAATATTTTTATAATAATTATAAATTTTGAGGATACACCTAAATTATATAAATTTGTGAAAAGCGACTAAAGCCGGGAACACACTTACCCTATGTACGTCATGCGACGCTACCCGATGCTACCCGACGCCTTGCCACGTTTTGGTAGGGTGTGCACATCTATCCGACGCAAGCACACATCGCGTACAGTCCACAGCGTTTATCACAATAATCACTATCACAATCGCAACGCATCTTTTGTTCTTAATGCACTATTTTGAGCAAAACCTTGTAATAAATTGTTAGTTAAATTTTATGAGCACAACCATCTAATAAATTGTTTGTTAAACTTAATTGTTTTAAATAAAGTTACTCCTAACCATCATAATTAAACAATGTTTATAAAAACTTATGCATTTTTGATCTCGTTTAATTTGGTTTACATTAAAATAACATGTTGTAATTAATATAACGACAAAATTACATGTACTTAGTTTGAAATAAACTACAAAAAATATGAGTGTCCTGTTCTGATGCTACCCGACATTACAAAATGGTGTAATTTTACGAGCAAAACTATGAAATAAATTGTTAATTAAATTTTATGAGCAAAACCGTGTAATAAATTGTTCCAATTTTAGTATATGTACCGCCGAAGCGAGTACAATAAATTGTTAGTTAAATTCATTATATCAAAAAATCGTATTCCGGTGTTTTGATTGATTTTCTACCAAACCTTTAAAATTAATTTTTTAAATAAAAACTAATTAATTTTAATAACAGTTAATTTGGTTTATATTAAAACAAGAATGTTGTAATTAATATAACGACAATAATACATGTAGTTTGAATAAAACTATGAGTGTCCGGTTCTTTTGTCTTCGACTGTACTCGATGCGACCCGACGAAAATCTGGACAGTGGGTACCGCATAGCATCGGGTAGATGTGCACGGGTGTAATGCAACCTTACGGAAAATCGG